ACTTTTGTATTTCTTCCAGTGCTTCCAGGGCTAAATCCAGGAGGATGAGCCATGTGTAATATTGCTACTACCATAATTGATAATGCTGTCATACATTGTAGTCATGGATTTGTTCCTCTTTGTAAATGGCTAATATGTAGCTTATATTGAATCTGATGCTTCACATAATTTATTGCTGAACATATGCTAGATTGCCTAACCACTGCAATGATATAAACAGCCTCATTTCTTGATGCATGGTCACTGTCCAACTTTAAAAAAATCAACATCTATCATAAACAAACTCTCTTTCCAATAAAGTACTATAAATTCTAATATCTAGGATATTGGAATCAAGTTATTCTTAGGCAAGCCTTTTAACTGTTTTATTATACAATATTCTCCCTCCAAAAAAGGGTAAATATTTCTGGGGGTCCATGACAGAAGGGGTCTTTATCTCTTTGAAATATTCACTTTATAATTAGCAAAGGATAATGGAGTAGGGAAAATTCCTAAACTATATGAGTAAAATATGATAAATACTGTAAAAAAATGATGACTTGGGGCATGGAGGAGACTGCTTTAAGTCAACATTAGAGGATTAAGGAAGATGGTTTGGGAAGAAGTGATATTTAAGCTAAGATCTAAAAGTTAATTAGGGTTAGTATGATGAAAAGTGGGCAAGAGTATCTTGACAGAGACTAATGTGTGCAAAGACAGGAAGTCATAGGAAACAAGTCACATTTGGGAAGAGAAATAGTGCTCTGTGGCTGGAACATAAAGAACATGAGAGACTGCAGATGGCAAAGGTAGATCTGGGGAGGAAAGTAGGAATGTAGTGTGAGGCTTTGTAGATTATTTTAAGAAATTTTGTCCTTATCTTAAGAGCAAAGAAAAAACATTGGAGATTTTAACTAAAGGAGGCCAGATGACCTAACTTGAGTTTTTTAGAAAGCTAAACCTAGATAGTATGGCAACTGGTGAAGATAGTCAGAAAAACTGGAGACGAGAACACCATTTAAGATACTGTGCAGAATTCTACGTGCAAAATAAGGAAGTAGCAGGGGAGAGGAGATAAGTGGAAAGATTCAAAAGATGTTCAGAAAGTGGGGTCAAAAATAAGGAAATGAGTGAGAAAAGCAAGGAAGGAAGGAAAGGAATAATGAGGAAAAGAAGGAAAGAGAAGAGTGAAAGGTGACTGCAGATTTCCTATGAGCATTCTGGAGACTGAGTGCCATGCAGGTACAGAATCATAGGAAGTCTCAACCTTGTGTTACACTTTGCCCTCATCTTTAATCTTACAGCTGCAGAGAGTTTTCAGTTTACAGAGTTCAGTCACAAATACCATTTCATGTGATCCTCACAGTAATCTTCGTGGAGTCATCATTAACTGCATTTACTGAGGAAACAGAGTTTGTGAAAGGGCTTACAGGCCAGGAGAAATGGGACACAGTGAAGGAAGCAACACAGTGGCTGGAACATAGGACGTGAACTAATATGAGCCAGTCAGAGCTATAGAATCATGTAGAATTGTACAGGGCATATTAATAGTTTTGAGCTTTAATCCTAAGAACACAGGAAGACAGAATGATTTTAAGGAATAGTGACATAATCAATTTTATGTTTTTAAATTTTTTTTTTTCAACGTTTTTATTTATTTTTGGGACAGAGAGAGACAGAGCATGAACGGGGGAGGGGCAGAGAGAGAGGGAGACACAGAATCGGAAACAGGCTCCAGGCTCTGAGCCATCAGCCCAGAGCCTGATGCGGGGCTCGAACTCACGGACCGCGAGATCGTGACCTGGCTGAAGTCGGACGCTTAACCGACTGCGCCACCCAGGCGCCCCTATTTTATGTTTTTAAAATACCATTTCAGTGGATATCTAAGGAGTGGAGAGGAAGGGGGTAGAATAAAGGAAAGAAGTCAAATGGCTATTGAGGTAGTTATAGTGAAAAAGATGGCAGCTCTGACTAGCATGGTGGTGGGTGGAATTAAGTAGATAGATTTGAGGTATATATTTCATCACTTCCACTTTTTGTTCGTTGTTGTTCATCACAACATTCACTTGTGCAAGAAGGCAAGAAAAAGGTGTAAACAGACATACTGAATAAAAAGAAAGTTTCCTTTATTTACAGATGACCAAAAAAATTTATGTGGAAAATCCCAAAGAATGTAGAAAAAAAGCTACTTGAATTGATAAGTAAATTTAGCAAATTTGCAGAGTATGGGGTTGTTATTTAAAAATTAATTAAGTCTCTCTTCTAGCAAAGAACTGTTGGATATTGAAATTAAAAAAAATAACATTTATAATAGTATCAGAGATAAGTCTAAAAAAATGTGCCAGGTTTGTATGCTAAAAACTACAAATAGGCTGATAACAGAAATAAAAGAAGACCTAACTGAAGGAGAGCTATACCATGTGGATTGACTGGAAGATTTGATATTTTTAAGTTGTAAATTCTTTCCAAATTGATCTATAAACTCAATGTAATCTACCCAAAATTCCAGTGGGCTTTTTTTTTTGGTAGAAATAAACAAACCGATTCTAAAATTTATATGGAAAACCAAAAGCCTAGAAGAGCCAAAGCAATTTTATTAAAGAAGGGCATATTTGGAAGATTTATATAACCTGAGTTCAAGACTTAACTATAAACTCTGAATATAGTATGGTATTGGTGTAAGGGTAGACATATATCAGTTAAACAGAGCCCAAAAATAAATACACATATATGGTCAATTGATTTTTGACAATAGTACCAAACTAGTTTAATTGAGAAAGGAAAGTTTTTTCAAAAAATCATGCTGAAAAACTTAAGCATGCATATTAAAAACCATAAACTAAACTATAAACTAAAACTATAAACTAAAAAAACACAAACTAACAAAAGAATAACAAAAGCTCATACCTGTAACCATTAAAAAAAAGAAAATAAGTAGATTCTATAAATATAAAACCTAAACCTATAAGAGTTCTGTAAGAAAACATGGGAGAAAATCTTTGTGGCTTTAGTGATGCAACCATATTTTAGAAAGAATATAAAAACATGTGATTTAAAAGTTTGATAAGGTAGACTTCATTGAAATTAAAAACTTATTTCAACACATTGCTAAGAATATGAAAAGGCAAGCCACAGACTAAAGAAAAATACTTTCAAAACGCATAGTAGATGAAAGACTTCTACCTAGTATCTATGAACTCTTACAAGTAAATAATAAGGCAACCTGAACAAACACTTCACCAAAGAAAGAGGAACACAAACGTGAGATTTTCCATATCATTAGCTATTAGAAAAATAGAAAATACTACTACAATGATACACCATTATATACCTACTCAAATGGCCAATGTCTTATTTTAAACAGACAACAAAAATATCCTGGCAAGGATGTGTAGCAACTGAAATTATAATACATTGCTGGTAGAAATCCATCATGGTACAGATACCTTAGAAAACCTCTTATCATAAGATCTAGTACTGTAATCATTTCTTATATATTTATTCAAGAGTAGTAAAACCATCCACACAAATACCTGGATGGTTTTAGTATCTTATGCACAGCAGCCCCAAAGTGAGAATAATTCAAATAATCATCATGTATGAATGCATTATTAAATTGAGATACATCCACACAATGGAGTATTACTCAGGAACAAAAAGGAATAAATGACTGAAAGTCAACAACATGATTCCATTTATAGGACATTCTGGAAAAGGCAAAACTATAAAGACCTAAATCAGATAAGTGATTGCTAGGGGCTGGATGTGGGAACAGTGAATTAACTCAAAAGAGGCACTAAGGAACTTTTTACAGTGATGGAAATACTCTATATGGTGATGATCATGGTTATGTATTTGTTGAAACTAGTGGAATTATTAACCTAAAATGGCAATGTTGTTTCAGTTCAAAATAGAGTCTTTACATTCACACTATAATAAGGACTAACTCTCATGATTTTCTATGAAAAGTATATAGAAAAATATTAGGACAATTAGTTAGAAACTATGCAGAGGATAATTGAAGACCATATGATATTATGGGGAAATATCTTGAAAAGAGAGTGTGAGATGTAGCTTTGCTCTGCAAATGAGTACTAACAATTATTGGGATCTTGGTTAAGACTTTTAATTTGTGAGTATCCACATTTATGGGATTTGTCTTTCCCTAACATCCCTTTTGACTTCGTCTGATATATTGTGATAGGGTGGCCACCAGGAGCTTGCAAAGTAATTCACTTAAAATTTATTGTGATTTAATTTGAAAACTACTTTTTAAGCATACTAGGTTCTGGGGATGCAAAGCCCTTAAGGAGTTCCCAGTCTAACGGTGAATACAAGTAAGTAAGTAGATTGACAAAACATAAAAGCTGAAACTCAAATAAAATGAAGAGACAGATGCAAATAAAATTTACCTTAAGGCTCAAAGATGTGTATATTTTTCATGTGATTAGATTTCCTGCCTCTACTGTCTACATGTACATAGAGTGTAATGTATATTATCACCAAAAATTAGGCTCTCTCACAAAGCCCCATTTTTGGAGCGCATCTATTTATGTAATACAAAATTATTATGAAAAGCAATTCTCTTTTATATAACATGAGACAAGCAGAAAACGGTCCTGGTAGGTTATTTTTATGTGTTGCTACTTTCAGCTCACCCCTGTATACACACTAAAAAGGAGTTTCTAGAATCTAATCTCAAAAAATAAGTATTACATTGTCAACATTATTTGCACCCACCTGCCATGTGACCATAGTCATTTGCTTGTTTTATTAACAACAGATAAATCAAAGCCCTAAACTTTAATAAAATATACCTACAATTGTGTGTGCCTGTGCCTAAAGTCACACAGTTAGGTCAGTAAGTTTTCTGGATTGGGCACATACCTTGAAACAATTTTTAAGTTGTTTACTTGATTCTTATCTTGTGGACCCACCAAGAGTAATCATTTTGGGGAAAAAAATATTTCTTGAAGTCGTGACAAGGCATAGAACTCTGGAAACCTTTCAGGATGTCTTACCTGGCTTGAGATGAGCAAATGGGATTTCACCAGTGAGAAGTTCCCAGAGACACAGAGCATAGCTGAAGACGTCAGCTTTGATGGTATAACGTGTGCACTGCGTGAACACCTCAGGGGCCATCCAGCGGAGGTTCTGTGTGTTCAGAAACATCCACAAGTCATTTGCCAAGTGTTTAGTCATCCCATTGTAGAAACAGTGCTCTTCTCTGTGAGGATTTGGTAAGTGTTCTCCCATTGTTCTCAGAAGATATAAAGATAAAATAACACTGATTACCCTGTACCATGCAATAAGCTGATGTGTTTATACATTAATACCATGTTTACTATCATTGTTCAGTTTTACAAAGGCATTTTTCTTAATCATTGGAAGATCATGAAATTCATAATCATTCCAAAAATATTGCAACAATATTAATCATCAAGTAACCCTGCATCTTGTAAAATGATCACAGCAGCAACATTTTTTGTTTACTTCTGAGCATCTTTCCCCTAGAAGCCTTATAAACTTATGAATAGCCAACCACGATTCATCCAAGAGCTCTATGCCTCCCTGGGGGTGAATCACACCTTTCTTCCTTTAGATCTTCAGGTTGTAGTTTAGGAAGCCACTAAATTAGACCCATAAATAATGCTCTCATGACTGAGGAGAGATAGAGCCTTAGAGGAGTGCCCAGGACATTCTTATGAAGCAGATAGCTCACTGGCAGGATCAGGTCTGTCATATCTCCTGTGTTTGCCCAGTTGTGTTATTTCTGAATATGGTTTGTGCAGTATTCCAGGAAGAAAACCTATAAAATGTTATAGTTTTCTCTGTATGAAGTTTTATATTCATGCTTTGATGGCATTATTTACATTCTTTTCACTTGCAGTTATGTATTTTTTGGTTTGAAATATAAGTTTGCTTTCTGAGATGCAAATGGCATACATTTGGTTGATTTGTAGTTTAGGGGAAAGAGCACTAGGTTTTGAGTTAGGAGAAGAAAATTCCAGCTCCAGCTCTACCATTCACTGTTTGAGCAGCCCTGGGCAAGTCTTGTATGCTCCTGGACCTCGGATTCCTTAAGGGCAGAACAGAAGAGGCAAACCCTTCCAGCTCTAAAATCCCATGGCTCCATAACCTTATCAGTGAACTTCGCCAAACACCTTGTTTCTTTGTATTTCCACTGGAAGAAACCAGCATTCTTTTATTGCTCTTACTGAAATTCTATGTAGAGCTGGCTGCTGATAATTCTTTTCAAGTGTCTACCTTATTTTGAAATCATGCATAATTATAGCATTCTAAGAATATATGTATTCCGATTATGATGCTTATATGCAATTCTTCCACATGGGCTTTCACCTTCCAAATAGCCTCCAACTTATGTAGCAGATTATGCCTTGTGTCACAACATTGCATAAGTGGAAGTAGGCATACCGTATGCCCATTTTCCCACAGGGGAGTAATAGAGTAATTAGCCAGCTTACATGAGGCCACATAACTAGTAAGAAACAAAATAGCCTTCAAAATAAATCTAGAGTAGTGCTGTGCTTAAAGACTGTGCTGCTAGGATTAAAAAAAAAAATTACTTGCTGTTGGTGAAATCCAATTCAATTTCATTCAACAAAAGTTTATTTAGCCAGAGTCTGGATGTATTTGAGAATCACCTGGGGGAAATTTGAAAAGATACAGGTACCCAAGATCAACCCCAGGCCAATGAAATCAGAATTTCTGGGGGATGGGTTCAGGCAAAATACTTTTTAAAAAGTTTCTGAAGTGATTCCAATGTGGTGCCAGGGTTGAGAATCACTGATCTAGCTATCTCTGTGTCTCAGGTACTGTGTGTCCTATCAAAAGAGGACTCATTCTTCCTCTCTTACCTCATATCTTGCCATTCTCCTCTTGCTCACTACACTCTAGTCATTCTGCCTTTGAACACACAAAGAATTTTCCTGTGTCAGGGCCTTTGCACTGACTGTTCCCTCTGCCTACATTGCTCTTCCCCTTACATGGATGACTCCTGGTCAGGCCTCTCATCAAATATTATCTTTCCCTCTTACCCTATCTAAGTGATACCCCCATTCTCCATTCACATACTTGCTTTGTTTTTACTCTGTAACACTTATCACAACCTGATACATATTTTGTTGATTTGTTCAGTGTCTATCTCCTTCTAGTAGAATATTAGATCCATGGGAATAAGAAAATTAATTTGTTCACTGCAATATTCCCAGTTCCTAGAAGGATGTCTGGCATTTAGTAAGTAGTCCATAAATATTTTCTGGATGAATGAATGAAATCTAACTGGGGAAACAAGACATGCCTAATCTCACTTACAACATGGTCCATGATGTATTTCCTGCCTTCCTCTCTAACTCATCTTTCACTTTCTCTTCCTCACCCAGAGCATGCCAACAATGACAAGCTCTTTGAAGTTCCCCCAGGAAGTCTGATATTTCTCATCCTTCCCTACATCTTTGCTCATGCTGTTGTTCATTCTACCTGGCACTCTTTTCTGTTCTCCCTGCACCTAATTTATTCCCATTCATCCCAAGATGCTCTGTCACACCTTACTTATCACAGGACTTCCATACTGCTTTAAATCTATCTGCTTATTACTGTGTTTTCCCCATAGAAAATGAGCTCTTGACATCAAGATTTTCTTCACATTTTGCATTCCTGGTCCCTTGCACAATGTCTGACACATGGTAGGCCCTCAATAAATGTTTATTGACTGAATGAGTAAGGGTACGAATTAGCAGTACAAAATGCTACAAAAGCACAGACAGAAAAATGCACGGGGAGGAGGCAGCAGGTGTGTGTGTGTGGGGGGGGGGGGGGGGGGATGTTATGGAAGGGAAGGCTCTTACAATGGATAAAATTTCCTAGGCCTTGCAAGACCTTTCTAGGTGAGGTGGAGTGAAGGACTGTCCAGGCAGAGAAAGCCACACTAGCAGAGACACAGGGATATGAATGTGAATGGCCTTTTTGGGGAATGAGCAGGAGGCTTGTGTATTAGGGTGTAGGGGACTTGAGAGAACTTACTGTGGGAGAAGAGGTCACAGAGGGGCCCTGGGCCAGATTTAGGAGGGCAGGAGGCTTCCAGGCAATGAATTTGGATTTTGGCCTGTGGGTACTGGGTATCTGTGATGGTTATAGGAGGAGATGAATTGTCAGAACCTAACACTTGGCTGATGTTGCAAAGAAGGAACTGGAAGACAGTACTGGAGTTAGAATCCTACTTCTAGTCCAGAAAAGGGATGATGAAGACATGAACTGAAGTGGAAAATGAGAGTTTCGGATGAACTTAAAACAAGCATGCAAACAAACAGAAAACATGACTGAGTAATGTATCTGTGGAAGCAGAAAAAGGAAGGAATGGGAAATTACCCTAAGCTTAGGTAGTTAAATAACACACGTGGTCTAGGAAGAGAAGTTACTTTTTTGGGGGAGGGGAGGAGAGTAAAGAAGAGAGCAGGTAATGATTTTAATAGCAGACATTTTTGAATACAATTATGTTTGCTCCAGATGTTAAAACTTATATTTTAGTTAAACATTAATACTTGGTTATATGCCATTTTACCTTATAATGCTGAAGCAGAAAAAAGTTGTTACTAGATGCTGGTTAACTACAAATTCTATAGTTAGTTACTGATTAAATGTTAACTCTCTCCACTACTTAATAAGAAGATCTAAAAATGAAAGCCAATTAACCATGCCTGCTTGGTACTTTTTTCAGTTACATCTGAAATAAATTCTGTATTATTTTATCCATCTCATTTTCCAGACATATATCTAATCTATTTTTCTGGTACAGCCTTGAAAGAGTTCTTTTGAGGGTTTCCTGAAAATAAAAACATAAAACTTTATCCTGCCCCTGGGACAATGACAATGCTTCCAGTTAAAGCTGCTCTCATCTCACTTCCTGTCATGCTGAGTTTACAGATTTTAATTGTTTCATAATTATAAGGAACATAAGCAGCAGCAAACCCCAGGTTGTTTTGTCATGTTGTCTTCATCCAGAGACTGTAGAAATCTTGATTCTGATGGAAAGAAAAAATGAATTCGTGTTAAAGAAAACATCTTTAAAAACAAGGTCAAAATCACAACTAAAATTTTGAACCCCCTAGAAACCTCTTATTTAAAGGCTTACTTCCTTTCTTGTACCTGGGTATATCAAAGAGAAAAAACTGAAAATAAATGATATACTTTTAAAATTCAGGGTCACTGAAATTTGAATGATTTAGAAAAGTATAGCTGTCAGTGTGAACTGCTTTTTCAGCTTCATCATACAATATGAGACACCAACTAAGAATGAAGAAAGAAACTGATGTCATTTGGGGATTTTTCATGGAAATCTCTCACCTCCAAAATCTGCCACCACTGCATGCCCGTCCTCACAGAGAAGAATATTGTGACTGTAAAAAACAAAACAAAACAAAAACAGTGAAACAAAAAACAAAACACTGACTTTGAGTAAACTTCATTATTTCTGAATCTGGTGTCTTAAGGAAGAGGTTGATAGTCATCATTTGTTTACCCAGAGGCTGAACAAGCTGCAAAAGACTGGCAGAGATCTTAGGTTAGTGACTCTTATTTTTTTTTTAATTTTGCTAATTCAAAAGGAATATTTACAAAATCATTTTATATCTAACTTGGAAAGTATACGCAGTGTCTCACTTTGGATAAGCCCTCTAAACTTGTCAAAAAGACCCATTCGCTGAAGATCAGTATTTCAGCTCTCTGTGGTTCATTTGCTAATACAATTGTTAACAGGCAGGGTCAAAGGCATCCATGAGCATATGAGAGCCAGAGCAAGGGAACCAGCTTGCTGGAACCCTAAGCATAAGGGCAGTTCAAGTCAGAGCCTGACATGAACATAATAAAAGGACCCTTTGTGGAATAAGTCTTGGCCAACATGTTCTAGCTACACTCCCAGGAAGAAGGAGTGTTTTTAAGCCTGATACTAGCTAAACCCCTTTTTAAGGTTGTAGGGAGAAAAAGTTATAAAGATCACCAAAGTCTTTCCAACCCAGAATTCAAGCGAGATTAAGAATGTCCTGCCTTTTCAAAAAGTAAATCAAGGCTGAGACAGCCCCCAAAGAGGTCATTCTTCCTCCCACATATTGGTAAAATGAGCTGTGGGATATCTTATGGATGGACAAACACATCATGATCCAAGATTGTCATGGAGTGCTTCTTACTGAATGCTTATTTCACATTTGCCTTGTAAATGAGGCATTTCAGTATTAGGAGATCATCCACTGGATTTCTTTTAGTGTCTATAGGTTATACTATATTTATTGTATTTGCTCTATCCTTAATTGTTTTGCTTTGTGATCAATATACAGAAAACACTATTATTTTCTAGTCCTGAATAAGACCCAAATAAGATATTGAATTCTTTACATAAATACTTTCTGGGGCTGACTGCGGCGTTATAAGAAAGTTACTTTTGAATTTCCCTAGTATCATTAATGAATTTTATTTCAGTAATATAGACTTAATCCTCTTTCAACTACTTAAAATCTAGAATATGTTTAAAGCCAATTTGCTTGGAAAAACCCAGTGTAGAAGTAATCAAGGATGTCAAAACAAAACCCCCAGGATGCTCTCTTTAACTTCAAATTTATCAGTTGCAACATATGATGAGACAACTGTCATAAGAACTTGATAGCATCAAGAACTCTCTGGAAGTTCAAGTATGACAAGAAAATGCATCTGATGTTGTACCACCAGATTCTCTGAGGGATTTATGGGAGTTTCAATACCACAATATCTTGGTCTATCAAAGGATATGGGGTGTTACATTTTAGAGATATCATTAAAACACATATTGAGCATGGATTCCCTAAACACAATACACCTATATGTATAGCATCTTGTCTGTTATTTTATTTTAATTTTGATTAGTTATCTAGAACAGTGGTTATTAAAAAATATTTTGAGGAGCATAATCTCAACATATAATACAGATTTTTAAATGGAGCTGTTCAAGTTAAACAGAGGGAAAGGCTCCCTGAACCACCAATTAAACATTCACTTTTTCCACAATAGTAGTCATCAAGGTAATAGCTTAAAACCATGGATCTTGAGAAGCCACCAGATAAGTTACATTTGTTTGGAATATTTATTCATTTGTTTGCTTAAATTTCTTCCAAAGTAAGTATTTTATGTTATTAAGACTGATTATACCACCTAGCTGGAGTTGGGGTGGAGAGTTTAGCAAAATTTTACTCTTTTATCAAAGAAATTTCAATGAATTTAGTCACTGGGCCACCCAGTGCATCACAGTATGAGAAGCAGGGTATGTCAGGAATCATGCAGGGATTATGCTCCTTGCTGTACCTCCAGCATTTTTAGCACATGCATTGCACAGGAGTATTCAATAAACATTTGTTAGCAAATAAATTAACTAAAAGTAACTGAAAATAGACAGTCATGAGTACTGTTTGAATACCGCTCATCTGTCTGCTGATAAATATTTAGAATTCACAGAATCCTACAATTGGACGAGACATTAGAACTAACTTAGTATAACCCTCTTAGTTCCTGCAGAAGTCTCAAGTTCAGAAAACTTAAGTGTATCAACAGAGATTACACAGGTAAGTAGTAACAGTGAAGACGCAGAATCCAGTTCATGTAGGCCATCATCCCAGATCTTAGAACAGGGACTGGCAAACAGTAGGTGAAAAATGATTTTATGAATCATCTTTGTGTTGTGTTATGGACCTTTCCCCCCAAGGACAATATTTACTTTCCTCACATTATCAAGACACTCTGAGAGATGCAAAGTGAGGCAAGTTATAGATTTCATCTTCAAAGAACTTATAATCAGTTGATAAAAAGTAAAGATGAATGTGGGTTATGTAAAAATTCAGAAAAAATAGTGTAGGTTAAAAAAGGAAATTATCTTTGAAGTGGGCCTTGAGAGACAGTCAGTAACTCTATAAATATAAATTGGCTAAACGTGGATTATATACCAGGAACTTTCCTATATACTGGGATATAGTGGATATAGGCAAAGCGTTTGTGAGCTTATGTTGTAGTGAGGAGGAAATGAGGCAGATGAAGGGAGAAAAAAAATCCAAGTTGGGGGATAATCTTAGTAAAGGCCAAAAGTTGGGGATGCCTGGAGTTGGTATCAGGAATTATAAGAAGAATATACTTACTAAATTAGACAGTGCATGCTGGAGAATAATGGAGGAAAATCAGGTGGAAGTAGTATTGGATAATTACAAGGAAATATGAAAGCTGGGAAGGGAATTCTAGGCTTGATACAAGGAAATAGCACATTTTTATGCATAGGGTGCAATGCTCTGAAAGCAGAGAGATTAGCCTTCAAGAATAATTTTAGGCCCTGGGTATTAAGGACAAAAGTAAAAAGAGTGGAAAACAAATAAGATAGGGTAAATCCATCAAAACATCTAAAATAAAGTGTCTAGATCTTGGGATAGCTTAGATAGAGAGGACAAAAAAGAACAGAAAACCAAGGATCATCCTTCATCACACTAGGAGTTTTCTAGTTTAGAGTTCTTAAGTACAAAGCAATAAAATATCCAATTAGAAAGGGTTGTCTTACTAAAAATTCTATGAATTTTTATGAAAAGGATAGTGGCTGACTTGGGAGGCTGAGAAACTTGACTAAAGTCAATGTTGTGCTTGGCAAGACTGGACTCACCAGACAAATAACTACTGTTTTTATCAAATCGAAATAACATGCAACATGAACTCTTGTGTTCTTTTTGTTTTTAAAAAAAATTTTTTAGTGTTAATTTATTTTTGAGAGACAGAGAGAGAGGGAGAGACAGAGTTCGAGCAAGGGAGGGGCAGAGAGAGAGAGGGAGACACAGAATCTGAAGCAGGCTCCAAGTTCTGAGCTGTCAGCACAGAGCCTGATGCGGGGCTCGAACTTACAAACTGTGAGATTGTGACCTGAGTAGAAGTTGGACGCCCAACTGACTGAGCCACCCAGGCACCCCTGAACTCTTGTGTTCTTAACAAGCAATAGAAATTAAACAAAACAAAGGATGCAGTGACAATTTAGGACACTGGACAATTTGAGTTCATAGCAGCAAATGGGGCCAAATTCCAAAAGGGAATCTATGCAAATAATATTGCAGAACTTTGGGAAGTGCTGGAATAAAAGGGAATTTTCTACTTACTTCAAGATAGTCTTCTGGATTTGTCCACTCCTTCTCTAACCACTCAGTAATAATGGAAACTAGCTTTTTAAACTACCCCTAAAATTCATCCATTCATTTTATTAGTTGGTGCTGAGTCATACTTCCTATCTGGAGTGAAATAAATGGAGAGAGACAGGCAGGCGGTGAAGCTGAGAGAATCTATTTTATCAGTGACAGCAGCAAGGCTTTGAAGTAGGCTTTGTGCTGTGTCAGAGAGTCACTGGCATTGGGGTTGAGGATATCTAGGGAAGAGGATGAGTTTGTAGAAGAAGCCAGTTAGGACAATAGAAGTGATGCAATTATTATTAGTGATAATTTGAAGAGTTTACCTGAGATTTGTCATGAATGGCAAGTTTTGAGAGGAAGAAGAACAATAAAAATTGAGGGGAGATAACAGAGAGGGTGGCAGTAAAGAAAAAAGTGAGTAAATATTGCATGAGAGCCTCCTGTGGGCAAGCACTGGTGTTTTTGAGATTTTTCCATCCCTCATGGAGCCACTGTGTGGTTGATATTAGCATATCTACCCTACAGATGGATAACTGAGGATCAGAGTGGTCACCTAAGATGGCCAGTATCATAGCTAGTAAGAGGTGGAGGAAGCATTCAAACCTCAGTCTCCAAAGTGTGCCTTTTTTAGGAGAAGTTGACTCCCACATCATCCAGATAGGCCCTGAGGAGCCAGAACTCTTCCAGCTTGATGTCTAGGGCAAAAGTCCAGAAAGTTTGAGTGAAGAAAGTGATCAAAATTCCAGCTAGTGCTAAAAATTCCTGTGTTCAATGTATGACTGTAAGGTAAAAAGAATGAAGTCAACAAGCTACATGGAAATAAATCTAATACACCTTTGATCCACCAAGAACCAGTAGACAAATACTAACCTTCTTCCCTTCCAGTGTGTGGCTAATGTGTCATATGTAGGTGAATGAAACACAATCCCTGTGAACAGGAAACTTGCAATCTGACCTGGGAATTAAGCTAGGTACACAGAGAATGTCATCAGGATCAGAAAAGTGAAAGAAAACAAGGTGATGGGAATTCTAAGGCTTTTTCTCCACCAGAACACCACCTGGGAGGTTCTTTTTTATCTGCTTTCTTTTGTATAAAATTCTGGGGAGAGACAGTCTTCTGTTACAGATAAGGCTTTATGGAGCATCTTCATGTACATAACATTGGGTGGAAACATCCCTTTGAGTCAGACCCTTCTGATGTGAATTTGGTAGATATGCAAACCTGT